GAATGTGCAGATGGTTACTATGGAAATAATTGTCAATTCTATGATTGTGGTGGTATTGAAAAATCAATGGCTGATGTTTGTGGAGCTCGTGGACAATGTGCTGCCCCTAATAGTTGTAAATGTCAACCAGGTTATTATGGTGAAAATTGTGAAATATATTCTTGTGGTGGAATCGCTAATAATGATAGTAATATTTGCTCTGGACATGGCTTCTGTGTTGCTCAAGATGAATGTTCATGTAATTGGCTTTCTTCCTCTAATAGTTACTTGCTAAATAATGCAACATCAGTTTTTGAATCAGTTTTGATTTCTTCCAATGGAAAATTCCAATTGAATATCACTGAAAACTCTACAATCATTGTTGATACTAGTAATGGTGCTGTCATTTCCTCTTGGGAAGCTTCTAGCATTTATGTTAGTGATAGGGGCGTTCTGATTATTGGACAATTCCAATCAGAAGAATGCAAGAATTGGAAAGTTTCTTCTTATTACAAATTGGTTCTTGATGATTTAGGAACATTGTTATTGTTCAATTCTAGAGGTGATATTTGTTATCAATCAAGTAATCAAACTCAATTCAGTCAACTCTATGGAGGTGCTGTTTGTGAAATTCCAGTTTGCTATGGAGTACTTTCTAACAGCTCAATGGCTTGCTCATCACATGGTGTGTGCTCTTCATCTAATAATTGCTCATGTGAAGAAGGATATTATGGAGCATATTGTCAGCACTATGACTGTAATGGTATTTTAATGAGTGACAGCTCTGTATGTTCCTCCAGAGGATCATGTATTTCTCCTAATAACTGTTCTTGTGAAAGTGGATATGGAGGCAGTGATTGTTCCATTTACTCTTGTTTTGATATTGATGCTGAGCAGGGAACAGTTTGCTCTTCGTCTGGTAAATGCATTGCTCATGATAATTGCTCTTGCCATGAAGGATACTCTGGCCAGATGTGTGAAACCTATTACTGTTATGGTAAATCAAGCAATGAATCATGTTCATTAAATGGTGAATGTAAGAGTCCAAATAATTGTAAATGCAAGAGTGGATACTATGGTGTTGAATGTGAAAAATATGATTGCTTTGGTGTCGATTCAAAGAGTCCTTCTACTTGCAGTGGTTTTGGTCAATGTATTTCTCCAAACGTTTGTCAATGTAAGAAATCTTATGAAGGCGAAATGTGTAATAATTACAAGTGTAATGGTGTTTTGAATAGTGATCCAAATGTTTGTGAAGGAAGAGGTTTGTGTAAAGATATTGATACTTGTTTGTGTTTGGATCTCTCTGCTGATAACAGTATTTCAACCAATCATTCCAGCATTGTCTTGGAAGAAGGTCAAACCTTAAAGTCAGCCAATGGAAAGTATTTGCTTTCGATTGGAACTAACTTTGTTTCTATCGAAAATGCCATGTCTGGTGTGGTTGCTAAGAAGTGGGATTTCCTATTCAATAATATCACTATTGAAATTTCAAATAGTGGCATCGTTACATTCAACGGAATTTTAGAAAAGGATAACACTACTAGTGCTGTCAAATATGTTCCAGATTTTGTTCCTGTTTGTAGCTCTTCTACTGCTCCATTCAGGATGGTATTGCAAAACGATGGTTCCCTAGTTGTTTACAATATTATGGGTTCAGTTTGTTTTGCCAGTGTAGAATTCAACTCAACTGACTCTTTGCATTATAGTGGATCGAATTGTAATATTCCACAATGTTACAACTTTGCTGCTGGTGATGTCAATGCTTGTTCTAGAAATGGTAACTGTACTCAACCTGGAAAATGTGAATGTTTAGACGGATATTATGGACCTGAATGCCAATTCCATGATTGTTACGCTCTTTCAAGCTCCAATAGCACTGTTTGTTCAGGCCATGGAGTGTGCGATAGTCCTAACTCGTGTCTTTGTCAACCAGGATATTCTGGAGATCGTTGTGAAAATTACTATTGTTACAATATTTCTGTCAGTGAATCACCATGCTCCAGAGTTGGTTCATGTATTTCACCAGATAATTGTTCTTGCCCTGAAGGATATTATGGTGTTAAATGTGAAAAATACGAATGTTTCGGTCTTTCCTTTGATGATTCCAAAGCTTGTACTTCAGGTAAAGGTGTTTGTACAGCTCCGAACAGTTGTAAATGTTTGAACAATGAATATGGTGAACAATGTGAAAAGTTCGACTGTTTCAATGTCAATTCACTCGATAATTCTGCATGTAGCGGAAATGGCAAGTGTCTTTCCCATAACAATTGTTCCTGTAAAGCTGGTTTTGAAGGTGAATCCTGTGCAGTCTTTACATGTTCTGGCGTTTTCAATAATGATGCCCAAGTTTGCTCTGGACAAGGTTTCTGCGTTTCACCAAGTACTTGTTCTTGTGGTGGTTTCAATTCAAGCAATTCATTCATTTCAAGTGCTTTGAATGTTGTGGCTGTGAATGGAAATTCTTCATTGGTTTCTAATAATGGACAATATGTACTCCTTGTTGAATTAACCTACATCAAGATTAAGAAGGTTTCAACTGGAGAAGTTGTTAGTGAATGGAATGTTGAGGCTAATAATGTTCGTATTGAAGTCTCAGCTCTTGGTCAATTATTGTTCATTGGTGAATCACCAAAAGATGGATCTGATGTTAGATACTCTCCTAACAAATTTGTAACATGTTCTGACTCTGGAATTAGTCATCCATTTACTTTGGTTCTTGAAAATGATGGTGTATTAGCATTGTTCAATTATGCTGGAAAGGTTTGCTTCCAATCTGGAAATTCTACCTTTGAAGCAATCTACTCTGGTACTGCTTGTGAAAAACCAAAGTGTTTCGGCATTGTTTCAGATGACAAACTTGTATGTTCTGGTTTGGGAAGCTGCATTGCTCCAGATCAATGTTCATGTAAAGAAGGATACTATGGCAAGGATTGTTCTCAATTTGATTGTTATGGCACTTACAAGAATGAAAATTCTGTATGTTCATCAAGAGGTCCTTGTATTGCTCCAAATCAATGTTCTTGTGAGGGTGGTTATTATGGAAAGTCATGTGAAGTGTATAATTGTAAATCTGTTCCATCAAATTCTACTATGGTTTGTAGTGGTAATGGTAAATGTACTGATATTGATGTTTGTGAGTGTAACGGTGGATTTAAGGGAAATAATTGTGAAATTCCAAGTTGTGATAACACCTATGCTGATTCAAGAGATGTTTGTTCCAGCCATGGTTCATGTGTTGATTTAGATACTTGTAAATGTAATGCAGGCTATTATGGAAATAATTGTGAATTGTATAATTGTTCATCTGTACGTTATGATGATTCATCAGCTTGTTCTGGTAATGGTAAATGTTCTCAACCAAATAAGTGTGAATGTCAATTGGACTATTATGGAGAAACTTGTAAATTATTTAACTGTTCCTCTATTCCATCAACTTCTTCATTGGTTTGTAGTGGTCATGGTTTATGTGCACTTCCAAATAATTGTACATGTCAAGATGGATATTATGGTGAGAATTGTCAATTCCACAACTGTTCAATTTCTCTCTACAATGATCGAAATGTTTGTTCAGGAAAAGGTTTTTGCTCATCCCCAAATAATTGTACTTGTCAAA